TCGAGATAAACAGACCAGTTCCATTGGTTACCTGTTAAACCATTAGGATCCTGTACACTGTGATATCAACCCATTAATAAGCCAAAACACATTACAACACCATCAGGGACCAACAGAAACACTTAATGGTTTCTATGGCTTCTGCAGCAGCACAAACTGTTGATAACAGACATCAGAGACTGAGCAGTACCTTACTGACATCTCTCACCCCATCTCTCTTCACACATCACTAGCCTGACTGTATCACTTTAGACAAACTTTAGTCAAAGTTCCTTGCTTAGGTCAAATATAATGCATATAATACTCTTTTGTTTTTGTCAGATGTCCTTCTCCTTGTCTTGGTTTTTGGAATCGAGATTATTGTTTGTAATTGACTCTTGGAATCCAACATTTCTGGAATCAAGTGGTCTCAGCTGAATGAACTTTGCTTTTCTCTCTGCTTTCATATAGCTGACCTGCTTGTGGATCCACATGGCTACAAGCTCAAAGATCATATCAAGGAAAGCAGAAAGGAGAAAAAATATGTCCACTTCTCCCCAGCCGGCATTCGTCCAGCCACGTCAGCATCAAACCTGTTACAACTAACATCAGACAACCCCTAAGAACAAACATACAGTAAGACAGAAACTGCACTTCCCTAGGGAACTTAAAGAGTGAGTAAGACTGTGAAACCAGGCAAAAGTGATAGGATAACAAAAGACCAAAATAAGAGGCAAGCTCAGAGACAGTTTCAAAAAGCTTCTAAGATTTGAAGTTTGATACATATTTTAGTTTCATTTTCGTATTTCATATTTAGAGAAGAGGTTTCAGTTTAGATCACAAACACAACACAAGTGATTATTACCATGTCAATAGTCCAATGGCCCTGGGTATAAAACAGTGTTGTTTTCTCTATCACCATTGACCATGAGGAGCCTAAATCTGCAGGCAGAACTAAAAATAAAGCAATAAGCCACAAGATGCCATATGTTTGATTACGGGGAAGGGTGTTGTTAGGCACGACGCAAAGCGGGGGTGGATTTAAAATCGTGCACTGCTTTCATGTATCTGGTATCCCTGTGAGCAAAATAAACTCATTTGATTGTTTCTGGGTTAGAAATAATGCAGCATACTGACATAAACATAGAACCAATCAGTAAATAGCTTTGTTGTTTACATCATACCACTGAGCCACTGGAACGGTTACCCTCCGTGCTCAGAACCGTTCGGCCCTTCAGTGGAAAAGAGCCCAAAGATTTTTCCAATAAAAGCATAAGGATTGTTCGTGGCGCAGTAATACAGAATTCAGTTGTGAGGTGGTCATAGGGGTGCACATACCATATATTTTACAACGGCATTCAACGCAGCTCAGCCAATCAGATCTTAGGACCGGAAATATCCGTTTTCAATTGAGTATAGACCTCGCCTTAAGGGTGACTTGTCATTTAAAGAATATATACTTCTATCATGCCTCGCTCAGCCAGTATGAGGTATCTGTCTAACCTCATGTCATAAACCAAATCTGGAAAAAAAGATATATAAAGGGTGATTATCTCACATGTTTATTGTATTTTATTTTTATTCCTCGAGACACAGAAAAATAATTAATTTCTACATGACTTTTTTCCAACCTCTCTTTATCCATAGAATTAAATAATCTGTTTCTGTTACTGAGCCTTTAAGACTGATGTATGTAAATGAGCTCTGGTCTGACTAGTTGTGCCTAATTCAAAAACCATCCAGGCCGCAACACTCCTAATTTCAGCATGAGTGGGCGGGGCTAAACTGCCGTAGGCTGAATAAATCAAAGGATGTAAATGCCTTGTTTTTAATGACATCACAAACACAGTGAATTTAAAATGGGCTGTTTTTGCAGCTTACTTTCCATATATGGGCTGTATGGACAGGCCTGTTAAGAGCTGTCCTGTTCCTGTGGCACACATAGCTGAATAGAATTAAACTGCTTGTAATTAAAGCGGTCCACTGAGTGCCGACTTGGTGGTTTCATTCAGATTTAGTATCCGCTTCATGTCAGGCCATCTGAACAAAACCTTCATCGCTGTCCGTAACTGGTCTCTGCATGGATGGCCAGATATCCTCATTACTGTCATCAGTCACTTCTTTTTTTCCTTTGCTTTTTTATGCACTATGAAACAGAACATTGCCTAGGAATAAACAATAACCGCAGCTGTGGTCCTCCTTTCGCTCAACGGTCTGTATTTGATTTGCTACTGCATTGTTGAGTCAGGCACACAGTCATATGGGAAAGTGAAAGTTAATAAACCCTCTACAGGAACGAACTTTTCTGCTAACTTTAGAGTTTAACATACTGGAAAAAAATAGAACAAAGCGTGCCATAACTTTTGCACAAGCTGCATGTTACGTATTGTATATTAAAATGTATTAAAATGTGCAGAAGTGTGGTCTCTGTAGAGGATGTGTTCACTTATTTTTACTTAGCAAATCAGCAAAACATGACCAGGGGCATTCAAACCTTTATATACAACCCTATATGTAAATGAGCTCTGTTTTGATTGGCTGCCCTGTGTCTCCTTAAAAAAAGCAGTCCTGGCTGAAACTCTCTTTGGCCTAATGCAGGCATGTCAAACTGGGGACCGTCAGGCCAAAGTGCTGTGGAGATCAGCGTTTATCCTCATCTGACACCTTGTTAATTAGCCGAAGAGCTAAGTCAGGTGTGTTTAATGAGGCAGTGAGCTGAAGTCTGCAGTGTTTTGCCCATAAGGACAGGAGCCTGACACATGTGGCCTAAAGCCTTAAATGACTCATCCTGTGGTTTTGAGATTTATGTGTAATCATTCGATGATGTCCATAGCAGCTGGACTGTGTATGATTTATTGACTTAAGCTCAGCTTGTTACACATACAGACTCACATACAGAGTGCCTCAGGGACTTCCACTACAAAAGCACTTTTTTCTACCAAATATGAAAACACTGTTGGAAGTAACCCACAACCACATCGTTGTGTGCGCTAGATCATCATCACACTGCTGCATTGACTAATTTGACCTGTCTTTAAATTAAAGCAATACAACCACAAGATATTACATTCTTTATCTTATCAACTTCATTGTTTTCTCGTTGATATTAAATTGATAAATTCATATTAATATTAAATTGATAAATTAAATTGATGCCTCCCCAACCCTGAATACTGTTTTCCCAGTGTGATTAATTATACACTGGATGACAAAAGAATATAATTTTTTTTATTACATTGACTGCAGAAAGTGATTCTGACAGCATTGTTGTCGTTCATTTGAATTTGTTTTTAGATTTTGTCCATCACCCAGGGAATTTATGACAAATTTATACCTTTACAAAAGGTAAAAAAAGGTACTGAACTCTCATCAGTCTGGTACCCACAAGCAGGGACAGATCATTGATCAAGGCCTCCCCCAAAGCTCAGATCATTACCATAAATAAATACCTGAAAAGTGAGATTCAATGAGTTCATGTTCATGTTGTGCACTAACAACAAGGCAAATGGTCTTCTATTTTAAGAGACATCTCGCATTACTTCTCTGATTTGAGAATCTACACAAATCATTTCTTCCTCAGATACATAAATCTAGCACCATTTTGAACCACTGCCTTAATGAAGGTTCATCAGTCAGAAGTCAGATGAAACAAAATTGAACGTTCATGAATTAATAAAAACTTTTCTTAACAGTATCATAGAACTCTCACCATAAAACAGCCCCCATAAATGAAACCCTGTAAAACTAAATTTACCCAAATACCACATCAGTAAAAACATTAGGATGAGATAATAATTACACTGATGTACCAAAAGTCATGGGATAGCACTGTGTAAATTGATTATGAAGCGGTGTTACTTCAGGAAACAGCTTGTGAACGGCCACGCCTGTATAAGCTGTGAGGTACTATCCTGTGAATCGATATTCCAGCAGGATAATGCACTGTGCCATCAGTCCAGAATGGGTTTGAGGATCACTCTGGAGAGTTCAGGTGAATGATGTGGCCTGGACGTTCACCCCAATCAAGTATTTATGGGATGTGGTGGAGAGTGGAGAACACTGGAGGTCCTGCACCTACAAACACCACAGAGCTGTAGGTGGCTATCCAGACGGCTCAACATCCCTCCAGACGTCCACTTGTGGAATGCCAAATAATGTGATTTGTGACCGTTAAAGGTGTTTTAGATAGATGCCCCTAAACATCGTTCTTACATTTTAACAATTTGTACACATTTTTCACACTAAAGCTAAACCTGGTTAAAAGCTCATCTACTCATTTTCAATACAACTTATTGTCATAAAAACAGTTTGTATTAACTGCAAAATACAGAAACATATTAAGGTTTGAATAAACAAAACCGAACATTTCAAAATAATACAAATTGTATTGTATGTCCAAAAGTTTCTGGACACCCCTTTCTAGTGAGTAAATTGATTGATTTTTGTGTAAAAAGAATTTATGTAGAAAGAAGTGATATTTTTATGCAGAAAGAAGTGATATTCTCAATTATCTTTGAATCTCTGCTGACAAAACCTTGCAATTTATTACAAGTTTGGAAATCTACACTTCTGTCCCAAACTGTAACAGATGACGTAAGAACACTCTCGATAATGGACAAGTAAAATTTAACTAGTAGATCTTTTCTTACTTTGTTTTTAAATTGTATAGACCAACCTTGTTGGATCAACTGTTGATTTCTTGAAGATATGATCAGAATTAATGCTTCACTTCAAAGAATTGCTTGATTGTCCCAAAACTGCAATGGAGTTTTTACATTCTGTTTTTCCTGTAATCCCCTGTAATCTGATGTATAGTTTAATACATCAGATTACAGGGGATTACAGAGGTCATTGTTAGTAAACCATGTTACTGATCAATTCACCTCCTGCTGTTAACTACTCTCATTATTATGTGATAAGACCTATTATTGTGGTTTAATCTGCATATTTCACAATTTTAAAATTCATTGTGACATACTAGATCATTATTGTACAGAGAAAAAAGCCATGGAGACCTGTACTAAGGAACATCGACTTTGTTGTTTTTAACAGACTGTTTCCTTAAAATTAATGTTAAATTCTATTAACTTTTGAAAGAGCTTGATGATATTCATCAAATTAAAAGCTAAGTTGAAATCTTATCACCACTTATCAAAAGAACGTGTACATAATTGTTATCCAGTGTAAACACAATGACAAAAAAAGATGTTTATGAACTGTGAACATATATCAATCCTAAAAATGACAGTATCAGTAATCAAAGCACAGTGAATGAGCTGCTCAGTCAATGTTGCGCAAAGTCATAATTGAGTAATCAGTGTCCCACCATTCTTGCAAGTTGGTGTGTGAATCAGTTTTCCCTGTGGACTGATTCACTATATACGGAGCTGTCAGAGTTACAGTAGAATCAGAGTTACAGGTTATTGTTGGTCAGGTGGCAGGATGTCCTCCTCTTCTGAAACCAGATTGTCCTCTCCATTTCCTGCGGCATAATTCATCTCAATACCTCGTCCACATTGACTACTTTTCTTCATACATATTCCCACAATCACCAAATATGTTACACAAATAATAACAGTACAGCTTGCAGTCCCCACCACTATCCCTGTCAACTCCAGCACTGACAAAACAATCTCTCTTCTGTGTGGATGTGGATCATCTACAAAACAAGAGCACACAAAGATGTGTAACAGTGTGAGTTTGAACTAATAACACAGTTAAAGTTCACAGTAGAGACGTTAGAGTGTCACGGTTTCACGGTTAGTCACGGTGAATAATCAGATGGTCACCTCACAGCTGACTTTTCCATAACGCAGATTAAAATCCATTTCTGTGTATTTGTGACTGAATTTCAGCTCATTAAACCGGTGGTTCTCAGTCTATGATTACATAGATTAAATAGACTGATAATCTATTAGTCTATTTAGTCTTTACGATTGTGAGTTACAGTTCATGAAACCAGTGGATCTCAGTCTGTTTAGCTGCAACCCCCTTCATCAGAACTCACTCTGAAACACACCAGAGCAGCTTCTTCACATTTCTGTGTGCATCCAATATATGAACTTCATGCACTGGTAGCTCTGCAGTGTGTCTGTAATAAACTCATGGCGCCCTGCTAACAGCACAGACAGTGGCTAAAGTGACTAAAACATGCTGTTATTGGCCATTCATAATCGAAACAACATTGCAGCCATTCTAGCAACATGTCTTCGTTTTGTATGTTTTAGCACAGTTAGTTAATAACCATGTAATGCTGATACAGTTGTTGAGCTGTTCGGCACAGCCAGGCGCAGAAGTGTTCTTACACGTTTTCACTCATTCTGTTTTAGTTGATAATGGTATTGCAATGTAACTGAGCAATGATATTTTCCAAAAAAAATTCCAAAAAGGTTGGGACACTGTGCAGAATGTAAATGAAAACAAAATACAATGATGTGCAAATATTTAAACCTATATTGAATTGAAAATAATACAACCACAACATATCAAATGTTGAAACTGAGAAATTTTATTGTTTGTTGAAAAATATTTGCCCATTTTGAATTTGATGCCAACAACACATTCCAAAAAAGTTGGGACAGGAGCAACAAAAGGCTGGTAAAGTTGTGTAATGCAAAAAAAAAAAAAACCTGGCGGTTGATTGGCAACAGGTCAGCAACATGATTGGGTATAAAAAAGAAACAATTTGTTGCTGCATTCATAAATGCAAGTTAAAACTCTAAAATGCAAAGAAGAAACCAAATATAAACAAGATCCAGAAATGCTGCCACCTTCTCTGGGCCATCCCTACGATGTCTTTTCAGGGAAGGCCTTGATTATTTCATCAAGACAATGTGAAACCACATTCTGCATGTATTACAACAGCATCGCTCCGTATTTAAAAGAGCCCGGGTCTCGAATAATATGAGAAAGGAGACCCCGAACTGATGAGCAGCTAAAATCTAATGTCAAACAAGAATGGAAAACATTTCACTTTCAAAACTACAGCAGTGTCTCCTCAGTTCCCAAACGCTTACAGAGTGTTGTTAAGAGAAGAGGTGATGAAACACACTGGTAAACATGACCCTGTCCCAACTTTTTTGGAACGTGTTGTTGGCATCAAATTCAAAATGGGCAAATATTTTTCAAAAAACATTAACATTTCTCAGTTTCAACATTTGATATGTTGTCTTTGTGGTATTTTCCTTTAAAAACATGGTTTACATGATTTGCAAATCATTGTATTCCATTTTTTATTTACATTCTGCACAGCGTCCCAACTTTTTTGGAAATGGGGTTATAGACATCCAGCTACCATGCACAGTTCTCCGTCAACTCCACAAGAACCAGCACATCAGGTCAGAAAAATAAGTTAGGCTACTATTTATAGGAAAATGTTCAATATGGTAGAGACTTAAATCTTTTGCTTCCTTTCAATTTTTATTTGCTTCATACACAACAGTTTTAAAGACCTCACAAAAACGTTCTGTTCATAGGGTTCCAAAATAATTCAAAATGGATGTTGAAGCATAATTTCAATGTAATATGTTGAATTAAATGTGTTAACGGTGATGTTTTCTTTTAATTTTTTAATTACCTGTTTACTACTGTGATTACTGTGAAACCGTGAAGTGTTTTTTGACTCTTATTATATTAAACTGTACCACTCACAGTCCAGCAGTTTCCTGAACACTGATTTCTGATAAAAGGTTCAAAACGTAATATTTACAGAGAGCATTTAATTCACTCCCGCACTGCTAAGGCTGCTGCCCTCACAAATTAAATTATATTCTAACGACTCTTCAGGAAAACACTGAATCTGTAATAAACTAAATTCATACCTCTGACAGTCACTGTGTAGACATGAATGACCTCCTTAGTTCTGGCATCCCGAATGGTGTAAACTCCACTATCAGACAGGTTCATTCGTTTCAGCTCAAGAGCAGGTGAGAACAACACTCTCTGTTTATAATCACCACTGCACTGTGACGAGCGTCCATCCACTGTACAGATCGGACTGCTGGAAGAATCACCTACACCTGTGCTCTCATAAAGCACCTCCACTTGCTCTGGTATTTCCAAATCCAGCACCAGAGATTCCCCAGGTTTTATCTGGACTGTAGAATTCAGAGCTAAGAGGAGAAACATAATATAGTTGGGTATAAATCTGATATAAAGCACTGCATATGAATCACTGGAGTTCTGTCAGAAACAGTCAGTGAAGGAAACAGATGAACAGACTTACCAATAATGCTGAATTCCACATCTCTGAGGTCTGTCCCATCACACTGACATGTGTACCAGCCTCTCATACTGAAATCAGCGTCAGTGATGATGAGAGAGAGATTCCCCTTCAGGTACTGATCATGGATCATCTGATATCCCTCCTTTGATCTGCATGAAGTCTGATTGCACTCAGCTGGAACATAATTCCTATTTCTGAACCAACTGACCAAACCAGAGCAGTTCTCATAGCAGTAGAGAGTAGCAGACCCATGAAGACTCACCTTCACTGGAAGAGGAGCTAACAGAGACAGAGGAAGAGATTAAAACATTGATTTTCATGATTAAAGTGCATCAGTAACTCCCAAAATGAATCAAGCAGTTTGATCGATTTCTAATTCAGGACATTCTTTATGTGTATGGCAAGTTTATCTGCCATACTATTTATATTATTTAGTGCGAAAGCATGATGTATGTAAAAGATCGGGCAACATTCTCTTATTTCGGTCCTGCTTAGACAGTCGAGATGTGGGATGAGATCTCCCTGGGTTTAAATTTCACCTGGCTGAACTGTGTTTCAAGCACACTTAAGCCCCCTTGCACTTTAGGAATGCACTGAAATTTTTTTAGGAATGCACTTTTGGTTTTTTGCTGAGGAAAGACCACAAAGGACAGAAAAAGAAAAAAGGTTGGTTGCAAAAAAACAAAAAAAAATAAATAAAATAAAATAAAACACCAAAATAAAACCAAATGTGTCTTCAATTTCAGAACTGAGTCTAAACTTAGTGAAGAAGCGTCTTGAGGATGTGAGTGAATTATCTACTATTGTCTACTATCAAAAATGATTGAGATCATTTGAGACCTAAACATCGAGCTTGACCCTTTTTGAGTCTGTGCGTGTGTCCGACACCTCTGACATTTTGCCCCCTAAACAAGTTAGGACTTCAATAGTAGTATTCTGTTAATGCACAGCACACAACACAACTCTCTTTAACTCATTTCACTAGCATAAAAAATGAACACTTACATTCAATATGAAGCTGCACAGTAATGATGGTCTCATGGTCACATCGACATGTGTACTCGCCGATCTTACTGGGATCTGCAACAGGTATGACGAGGGAGTTATTCCCTTCCAGGTACAGATCATGGAACATCTCAAATCCATCCTTCACTGACTGGCATGTAGTCTGGTTACACTGAGCCACAACAACACCAGAGTTGTGGCGCCATCTGGCCAACCCAGAACATCTGTCATAGCAGGGGAGAGTCACTGAGTCATTCAGCTTCACCTTTACTTCAGTGGAATTGGTTCCAGACACTGAAAAATGGAATAAGAAAGAACTGGTTACAAACTGTCTGAACAAAACCACTGCAATTACAACAGCAGTGACTACATTATACACTCCAGAGTAAAAACTACACAAATCAGACCTTATTCAGCGCTGCCCCCTAAAGAAAACTTTAACCAATATAAGTTAGAACTTCCACTGTTTTTGGAAGATCTAGACAAGTCTTACATTAATATGCTTTCTATTTTTTTTACTTAGATGGAATCAAATCTTTGGGGGAATGGTGAGGGGGACACTCTTTGATACCCATACCCATGGGCACCCATCTCTTTGATAATGTCACAGACTCTATGGTTACTCATGGTTACTGGTGTGGGAATGGATTTCTGCTTCATGGAAGACATGAAAAAGACAAAAACTAAAATAAACAGAGGCAGAACCCTAAACAGAACCAAACAGAACCCTAAATTTACTGTAAAAATAGAGCCCAAGCCTGCACTGTAGAAACAGAACCCAACACTGTACTGTAGAAACAGAACCCAACACTGCACTGTAGAAACAGAACTCAACACTGTACTGTACAAACAGAACCCAACACTGCACTGTAGAAACAGAACCCAACACTGTACTTTAGAAACAGAACCCAACACTGTACTGTACAAACAGAACCCAACACTGCACTGTAGAAACAGAACCCAACACTGTACTGTCCAAACAGAACCCAACACTGCACTGTAGAAACAGAAGCCAACACTGTACTGTACAAACAGAACCAAATACTTTACTTTAGGAACAGAACCCAACACTGCACTATACAAACAGAACTCAACATTGTACTGTACAAACAGAACCAAACACTACACTGTAGAAACAGAACCCAACATTGCACTGTAGAAACAGAACCAAATACTTTACTTTAGGAACAGAACCCAACACTGTACTGTAGAAACAGAACACAACACTGCACTGTACAAACAGAACTCAACACTGTTCTGTAGAAACAGAACCCAACACTGCACTGTACAAACAGAACTCAACACTGTTCTGTAGAAACAAAAATCCAACACTACACTGTACAAACAGAACCCAACACTGCACTGTACAAACAGAACACAACACTGTACTGTACAAACAGAACCAAATACTTTACTTTAGGAACAGAACCCAACACTGCACTGTACAAACAGAACTCAACACTGTACTGTAGAAACAGAACCCAACACTGTACTGTAGAAAAAGAACCCAACACGGCACTGCACAAACAGAACTCAACACTGTTCTGTAGAAACAGAACCCAACACTGCACTGTAGAAACAGAACCCAACACTGCACCGTAGAAACAGAACCCAACACGGCACTGCACAAACAGAACTCAACACTGTTCTGCAGAAACAGAACCCAACACTGCACTGTACAAACAGAACCAAATACTTTACTTTAGGAACAGAACCCCACACTGCACCATAGAAACAGAACCCAACACTGCACTGTAGAAACAGAACCTAACACTGCACTGTAGAATACCATCCTGTATGTGTTCCACACAGTCAATACTACATCACAACTTTCACTTTTTTTTTTTTATTCTTTAAAATCCCAGCATCTTGGTTTAATCTTCAATAGTCTTTTAAAAAATCCTTAAAAATCTCATATTTCCCAACAGAAGCTTCATCAGTATGTCAGTTTAATACATGACCTGAGCCTCAGTGTGCTTCAGCAGCCAGTTAAAGTTAGATTCACAGAGTTTGAAGGACTTAGGTAACAACACATTATGCAGTACCTACCATTAGTGAATGTAGAGATCAGTAAGATCAGGACATAGAGAGCAGAACTGCTGGACTTCATGACTGACCTACAGACACACACACACACCAACAGTACTGACCAGGAGAGGAGAGAGAGAAGAGAGAGAGAGTGAACAAAACTGACCTACAGACACACACACACACACCATCAGTACTGACCAGGAGAGGAGGGATAATAAGGAGAAATAAAAGGACATCATAATTATTCATAAAGGAGTGAAGACAGGAGGTGGCTGTTGTAAACGTGTCTCATTCACTATTTAAATATAAATAATCAAAGTCTGTGCACAATGAAACACACAATTACAGCCAGATTCACAGCACTGCAAATGTGTTCTTATCCTTGTTTGAATGTTAATGAATGCAGTTTATTCTTTATTAGCCAGAGCATCCCCACAACTACAAATTACAACATTACAGGCCCCCGATGTCTCCATGGAGACCACCACAGAAATGCCAAGGATACAAGGATACAAGAGGAATTTAACCAATTACCTGCACATAATGCTACATATCATTTTCATTTCAGAAGACTAAGAAGCAGAGGTTAAACTAGGGCAGAGTGTGTTGAGCAGAGCTGCGGTCCCTTTGGTTTATATAAATAGCAAGCAGAGCTGAGACTTGGCTAAAGTGTGCTAGCCAAGCAAAATAACTTGCAGCTTCACATATAGCCTAAGTCATGGCTTCAGTATAATAATATAATGTAAATATCCCAGCTAAATGTTTTTGTTTTCTGATCCACTCATTGGGATCTGTTCACACATCTCACACATCTGTCACATCAAATTTTATCTAAGCAATTAGAAATATTGCATAATGGACTAGAAACCAGGGGACAAATAGAGATTTCAGGGGTGGGGAGCCCTACTTGTTAGGCGTCAATAATGTGGGAACAATAGTGTTAAGTATATGTGGTGTTTATTCAAAGTGCTCAGCACTGTTGTCATTAAAGAATGATTAAAACCATATTTATTTCATATTATGTGTTTGCTCTTTGAACAGATGTTTGATTTAGCGTCCTCAAAGAAGGCATCTGTATTCGGCTACAGAAACTTGGCTAGATATGGTAAAATGATCTAGGCCAGTTGGAGATTGAGGAATAATGAACACAGTTATTTAGCCAGTTTAAACACAATGAAACAGGGATGGGTACTTACCTGGCCATGAACAGCGTTTAAAGCTCTGTTTGCCGTGAACATCCCAGCCCAATTCATCCTCTGGTTGTAGCACAAATGTGCAATAGTTTGTGCGTCATTGATATAATGTGTTCTGCATTAGTGAGCTGCGACAGCCCCCTCACTCAACACGGAGGTTGAAAGGAAATGCCCTGCCCCCAGCTTGTGATTTTGATCTTGTGATCTTATTCAGCCGGTGGTGACAATAATTATAAATAATGTTTTTTCTAAATTTCCAGCTCCAGTGGTCTAATTTTAAGACATACTTTAATTTATTGGAGCAGATATTTTGTCATGTGAACATCTGCTTCCTCTTGCTGGTCCTGGACAACAATCAGAACTGCTGAACATTACAGGCTCTCTGAGGAACTTTGTCACTAACACACAGTTTTTGGATACTTATAAACTGAGTATATATCTGAGAGAATGATCTCTGAAGATGCATGTACAATGTTCCTGAAATGATTGGGCATCTCTGTTTCTGATCCAGTGCTGCTCCTATTCTGGGGTCAGGTCCATTACAAGAGGCCCCACGTCCCACCAGAGGCAGTAACAGGTTTAAGGGTAATGTATAACATAATATTGATTCAGTTTCTACACAAATTGATTCATGTTCTGTACAAAAAGACTATCTAGATTTTACACTGTACTGCTGGAGTTATCTTTATGTTTGACCTTCACCTGCTGCCATGTGTATTTCACACATGCTGCTTCTCACTCCAACATTCATTGGAACAAAAGATGCTTCTATTACAAGATAAGAAAGATTTTCTATTACATATTTGCACTTTAAATGACTTACTCTAATTAGACACAGCGTCCCCAAGACAGCAGAGAGCATTAGGAACACAGTGTATAGAGTTGTTTTGAACCATAATATTGTGGTGTTGGTGTAGAACAAGGCGCAGGAAACAAAGCGCTTCAACCAGCTGCTTTTGTTTTTTACCTAACAGGCAGCAGAGTAAAATTACCACCCACTTCCTACCACATTTCCTGTAGTTTGCACTGTTAGAAATGAAGGTTCTGTGCAGGTACGTTTTCCCTTCATCAAGGTACAAACAGTGTAAATGTTCCCTCAAAGGTACAACAGTGGATTTAAGGTCTGGTTGTGAACCTTAAATAAGTTTTTCCAGGTGAAAAGTTTGTATTTGTACCTTTTCATAACCAAATGTTTAAAAAAACAGAACGTCCTGAGATGAACCCTTGAGGGTCCCACCCCAGTGACAGGAGGGGGACTGACCCAGAGACAGTTTAGTACCTTTATTTCTGAGAGTGTACAAACTTACACAAACTACCCACAGCCCAGCAAAGACTGCCATCAACAACACATATGCAACCTCCAACCAACAACAACAACTTGTTTATATTATCAAGTCTCTCCTACTGCACCCGCAGCGCATCCCACAAACCCAGAGGATACGCCAGAAGCAGGACAATATAGTATAGTGTTTCATACTGTGAAGTTCAAGTATTAACCCAGACAACATGCAGGTCTGAGCCACTGGCAGAAATATGGAAGAGCTGCTTCCACCGACACTGACAAACTGCATGGAGCCAAAAGTGGCCCTCATATTAAAAATGATGGTATGTTCTGGTACAGAGATGGCATGAGCTACGT